AGGTTTGTAAAAAGCGCGCGCCCATATGATCGATTGAGTTATCAGGTTTTATATTTTTCCGGAGTGATATTTGGAACCCTACTACTCCTGAAGGAATCGTCCGCGGCTCTGGACGGGTCTTTTTCGCGTATCTCGGATTTGATGTTATCAACTGCCTCGCGGAGGAAACCACTGAGGTGAGAATATTTTGGATTTTTTGGATGGAAAATTTTGTTCATAATGGGAAACTTACAAACGCGGAGGTTGGGTATGGTATACCTGGTTTTCGCAAGTGAAGAACTACTGCGAGAGCAACACGGTTGCGATTGAGAAATACAATAGCAACAGCTGTAACCCGCTAAACGCGACCACGCCGCGTCCACCAAGTTCAACCAAGTCGACCACAATAGAATAATGTCGAAACATGTTACATCCTGGCGTGGTCACTTGGTGACAGCCAGATATGATGAGATTTATATACTCACTCGAAAATACTCACTTCGCACCAACAGATCTGTAACGCTGAGTCTGACCAGGTTGAGAGTCAAGCCCTGAGCATCCATTTCGAAATAGATGGATCCTCGGGGGAGTAACGAACGACATACCCCTCCAGTGTACGCCGGAACCATTATGGGCAACAGACCGGGAGGCGCCTCTGAGGCGCCTCACACGACTAGCCGCAATACATACTGTGGATGCCTGGGTTTGACGACATTCAGTCGTCGTTGATTGTGGCTAATCTTAATCAAGGGCGAATGAAGTGAATAAGTCTGTTGCTTAGAAAGAATCGCTCTGTTCACGGAGTTGATGATGATCCGGACCAGGGCCCATACTTCACGATAGGCGATGAGATTACTTGAGTTAGAAAGTATCAGTGCCGCCCTGCACGGTGCAGGGCGGCACTAAATACTCTCTAACATGCAGGCTGCACCTGCGGCACAAGATGAGATTTTCAGAAGAGCTTTGCAAATATGATTGCTGGTTCGAACCGCGGCAGGGATACTTTTCAGGCTCGCCGGCTCGTCCCTAGAGCGATCATCGTTACAATCATCATATGCTGTATTGTGTATGTGTTGGTTGCTGGTAGGCGGAGCGAAGCGCTTCGGGAATGTAATCTTTTGCCGTCAGTCGCATTCGTCCATTTGGCGCCGCTTGCCAGTGTGAATATGAACGCGCCTTTGGCTACAGCTTTTGAAGCGCGAGGAGCGACAGTCTTGGAGTGGGTACCTACTTTGTATCTTTGTCGCTTGAACCTAAGATATCATTTGAAGATTTGTTGTTTCCCTCGGGGCTGTTGGCAATACCATGACGTCAGTGATGTCATCCATGATTGTTCAGCCGCGCATCATGCTACGGATGAGCAGTGACGGTCTTCTCCCGAGATCGGTACAAAACCGAAAGTGAATCGGTGAGTCGATTCTCTCTCTTCAGATTGGGAGGCTCACTAGTTCTGGTACGCCTTCTGTAGCATTGATCATTACGATCGTCGTGTCATCGGCGCTCGCCCTGGTGATCG